CAAGGGTCTGATTGAAGCTGCTCAGCCCCAGCCATGCACCGCAACATCCCACACCCAGAAGGCGGCCTGCTAAAAGTCTTTTTCCGGGGGAGAAACTGAAGGGTTTATGGCCCACGAATATTGATATCACCTATCAACGCATTTCAGATCCGGCCCGCACAGTCAAGGGGAGAAATACTTGGGTTTATATGGTTACCCTACGGCCAAACTTGAACTGCGTCATGTCATCGCTGCTATCTCTCCTCGAAAAAAAAAAAAACACCCCCCGAATCTCCTCGAGCAGTACAAATCTGGCCGTCGAAGGTGGCTAGGAACCTAGGTACTCCTGGTAAGGCAAGGCTCTGACAAATGAGAGGCAGCCATCTGTCGCACTGCATTTTGCAAGCCGCTGGAGGGGCTTTCTGAAGGCCTCGCGCGGGGTGAAAATTGCAGTGGTCCGATCTCTCGGGCGGTGGGAGGCCTCAAGTCCGCTGGCTGACACGCAAGGCTCCGAGCCTTGTGCCCCTGTTGGGTTGGGCAGCACCACGTGGCTCACACACTTCGATTCGATTTTAGGCTTGAGGAACAGAGTCGCATAGTTAGGTTGGCTCATACTTACACTGCAATTTTGCTCTCCGAAGAAGGGGATCATCTACCCCGCATCGACCCCTCGTTCGAGGCTCAAGTTGCGGTGTTGGCCGGGGACAGCGAGCTGATAGGATTCGAAGCTAGCGGGGTAAACCGATGAGGTGAGTTTTTGACTGCCAAAAGATCAAGCCGCCGCTCCGATTCCTCGCGGTGGGATGGCAGTGGTGGGATGCTATTGTTTTTGATCTGGGATGTTGAACAGGGGTATTCTGATGCTTGAAGGCGGAAGTCTTTTGGGTGATGCTGGTGTCGTCACAGTTCAAAGGCTCCTGAATCCCGGGATCGAAGGCGTTTGGGTTTCGTGCCTTGAACGACGGGGTTTCCCGCTGCGCTTTCCGTCGACAAAACTCATTGGCGTCCCTCGTGCCTGCATGCCTAAACGTGTTAGTGGTGGGTTGAGATCCGGTCGTGCTGAAAGGCGGGGTCGTGACGTCGACGCCAGGCACACAACCCGCTGTATTTCTCACTCTGTTTTCTCTCCACACTTGGTACAACCTGGGCGAGAAAGGACATGGGACCCGGTTCCATTGTGACGTAGAGTGATTATTGTATTGACAGGTTCTGGATGGTATTTACGGATACACAATTAGTATTTACATGTTGATATGATTGCTGCCCTTGCAATGCGCAGACTTTAGTTGACGAGGTGCAAGCTCATCCTGCAAAGGAGTGGATCCCGCTTTACTCCTTCTTGGGCTTCTTGATCGGATTACCCTGCTCATCGACGAGCCCCTTGGCACGCATGACTTTGAGGGCATCGTGGAGAGGGTCAACAGCCGGGTCAGGGGCCCGATGGGAACCGAAATAGCTGTCGGCCCAGGTAAAGTACTGGCCGTAGTTGACAGTAAAGTACATGTGGTGCAGGGTATGGTGAGCGGGACTGTTGATGAACTTCTGGGTCCAATGATCCGTGATCATGTCGCCATCGTGGATGAGGATAGTCCAAATTTGGACAGCCACAAAGAGGCCTAGGTAAAGATACCGTTGGATGGGGCAGATGAAGGGGAACAAGCTTTATCAATTGTCAATCGGCATGTTGAGCGGTAGCGACAGTTGGAACTTACTGGTAAGGCAGGGACTGGACATAGCCGTCAAGCGGGTGGAAGGCCAGAGCGGCCCATGGTGTGGGGACAATCCACTTGTGATGAGGTTTGTGGATGTATTTGTAGACGCTGGGGTGATGCTCGAGGCGATGAATCCAGTAGATGGCAATATCGTTGAAGGCAATGTATAGAACAGCCGAGGCCAACAGCCAGGCGTAGCCAAACTCGCTCACGTCGGCATACAGCAAGCTCTTTCCGCGGACCTCAGCTAGGAACCATGGCAGAGTCAAGATGTTGATGAAGGGGACCGCCGACAGTGACGACTTGATCTCCTGACGCACTTGATTGTCAAGGAAGCGAGGGTGGTACTCAAGCCGCCGGTCGAAAATCAAGTAGTACGATAGAGCGCTGAAGATCAGGTAGAGCGAGGTCGCTCCTATCTGGGTGAGGATGAGAATCGATGTGATCTGGCGATAGATGTTGTCCCGTGGCCAGAGGGACTCAGGGGCGTCGCCAAGGATTTCGGAACCCGGATGTGGATATGAGGCATTGCCCAGGTCGCTGGGACGAGGCAGGGCCCAGGCGTAGGCCTTGTCCAGAATGAGGGGATCGAGAAGCTCGAGAGCAACGTCCATTGTGAATGAGCGACGCGACGCGTCAGTGGCGGCGCGGCTTGTTGGGAGCTGACGGCGTCGCGATTGTGGGTGAGTTGTATGGGGTGAGATTGAGATTGAGGTCCCATCTGTTTTGCCGAGGAAGTCACCTCCAAGGGAGACAGGGGTCAAGCCACACCTTGGCACATCTCATTTCATCGCTTCCGCCTCGCATTTATTGGAGCTGGTAAGCGAAGTAACGTGCGTCTTTTTATTTTCACGAAAACATCGAACTTAAACTCAAGAGCTTATGTACTTGAAGAAATTTGATGCGAAAATCGTGGCACAATTTTCCCAGCGATTGAATGTATTTCGCTCGATTTGTCGTGTGGGGGCAGAAGAAGCGATCTCCGCTCCCCTTCCAACGGGCGCGTCCCTGCTCCGTCGCTTGACTTACACGGATACCCCCCGCAACCTAATTCGAACCTCACTTCGTTCGCCTTGCAGTGCGAAGCTCTTGGAACCATGTCCGTAACACGAAGCCATCAAAGCACACCAAATGCGGCGGACACAATAACACACAGAGCCGGGACCTTCGCTGCCAAGTGGCGCCCGTGGGGCGGCGCTTGTGACCGATGCTTTCCCCTCCGAGCCGTCTTTACGACTGAGGAGAAAGTGAGACTAGCCCCGAGGACCAGGATACGTTGTGATCGATGATGCCTCTTCAGCCTGGAAGTTAAGGAGGTGGCTCTTGAGGCGCGGGTGTGACTGGGATCGGTAATGTGTCTATTGAACACCACTTGAACGGCGTTCAACCAAGACGTGTATCTAACGGGCTCGGTACAATACAATTTTAGAGATCATATGCTGTGCATCACGGCGTCTAGGTGGTTTATCTAGTGTGGTCGTGATTCATGGTTCAAGTGGATGACCTCCGGGCCGTGTAGGGTACCCGGGTTGATTCACACCATTTTTTCCGAGCACCCCCTCTCGCAGCCTTAGAGCTGACTAGACTCAGATGGCATTGCAAATGGTGATGATGCTATGCTCCGATTTCTTTTTGCAGCCTTCGGCACCTACTTACTGGCGCCTTTCCATCACCTCCCCTTCAATCCTCCAAAGATGACTCTCCTGAAGATGTGGTATCTGAAAATGGTGATGGAGGCTCAGGAGATGATGTTATGGGGGATTGCCCCTCGATAACCCGTGATTCCACAGTGATATTGAAATCCCTCTCGGGATAGCAAATGATCTCGTTGCTTTCAGTCGAATGCCGGAACACGACAAAGTCCTCAATGACGCGTCTTCGTTTGACCGGGTCGCCGACTGACCACCACCGCTCCAACGTACCCTCCAATGAGATGTAAATCAACCGAGTTCTCAATATAATCTAGCGCTCTGGGCTGTCCATATTCTGCTAGTGGCGATCACAGGTCGGGGGGGGGGGGGGGGGCATCTTTTAGAACACCCATGACGTTCATGGCCGTGTTATTGCCCTGTCTCACGAATCCAACGAGGAAATACAGACCTTCCCCTCTTCCAACAGATACAGTGTTCAGTTCGTACTGGGCGAGACAGAAATCTCCCAAGCAATCTCTGATGCGCCTTCTCGTCGGATGAGCATTCCTCTCACCGCAGTCGCGATGTCGTCCTCAGCGTGCCTGGTTGCTGTTGTTATTTCCACCACCCCTTCTAGGGTGCAGCTCGAATAGAGCCAACCTACATGCCTCCATTGCACTCGATGCTCTTGGAGGCGCTTTGTGGCACGGGTTGTGCTCTGGGGCATCTCCAGTTCTCCGGTACTTTCAAGACCCTCAATGGTCTCGGATGCGGCAAAGTGGATGGGGCGACGGCTATCACTCCACGGGGCTGATATTTTGTTGAAGTAAAGACGCCAGCCACCACGAGGTGGGCGTATATCAGGTGGTATTTTATTAACTGGTCCAAGGCAACAGGCCCACAAGTAATTTGGCGCCCGCGAGTGGTAGTAAAGTACATCAACTCCATGTTAGTCGGTGAAGAATTCAGTAGGCAAGACATATTTCGAAAGGGAGACGACCTGACGCGAGATTTGTTTGCAAAACTGCCGCCAGATTGCTTCGTAGCCGTTGTTCGGACTCTAGCTGTTCGAGAGGGTGGACGTCGAGCTGCAGTGCGACGGGTTCGATGAAAAATTCTTCTAGAGGACACCCCAGAAGCCTTTTAGACATGGAACGGAGTGTGGGTTAGCGGAACACATTGAAACACATGGACTGGTTCAAGGTGCCGCGCCCTCGTCGTCACTTTCGATGCTGTTGTCGCTGTCCATGCCGTCGTCGGTGTCCATATTTGATCGGTTGTGAGGGCTTCGGCTTCGGCAGCAATAAAATGAAGATAGCAGCTAGGTAATTGGCGAAGTACTCAGATGAGAAGTGGAAGTTACAGCTTGTGGCGATGTGCCCAGCTGGGTGCGGAACAACCACCCAGTCCACCTGGACAAAAAAAGCAAGGTGCACGAGTAGACGCCAGCGACTTCGAAGCCCAAGCGTGGAAGGGCAGATAGGTGTCCTGGAAAATATCAGATTGAAAATTGTGTTCTACTTTTTATATCGTCGCAACAAAAAGTCATTTAAAACTGGGCTGCCGTGCATCCAATACATCCAGACGTTGTGGTGGCTGTAAGTTTTGATTATTTTGGCTGTGGGGTGTGCAAGGATATAAAGTCTGATGGAAGGAAGTGGAGTTGAATAGGAAAACGGCTCTATTGGTGTAGTGGTTATCACATCGTTCTTATAGTTGCGCTTTCAACGCTTCATATGCGAGGGTCCTGAGTTCAATCCTCAGATAGAGCAGTTCTCTTTTTTGCTGAAATACGATATGCTTTGGGGAAACTGCGAATGAGAATGGGGTCAGTGGGCAAACCCGCCCAAGGTTTGGATGCTCAACCGCTAGACATCGGCTTAAAGTGGGGCCTCAGCGTGCAGACTCCCATTGTTGAGCCTCCCTTTTCAGAACCAAGAGGTGATGCTGCCAGCAATTGGCATCAAACTTCAGACGAAGTCTGACATGCGGAGGCTCGGAACCGCATGAGATATCTGCTCACAATATCATCCCGTCGTCCGAACGACCTGACTACACGGTCCAGCGCACTTGGCACACTGATCACAGCGCATCGCATTCGCCTCGCACCAACTTCTCATCGGCGTTCAAGTGAAACGGTTTCGGCCGCCCCAAACACATCCTCTGCGCTCAACGATCTGGATTCCTGATGGAACCAGCACAAGAAACCCGGTCTTGGCCAACGACAAGCGCTACGATCCATCCTCAATGCTCCTCTCTCCAACCAACAACGCCCCAATGCAACCCACAACCCCTCATCCCCCGCATCCTGGGCCGGACTCCGCTTCACTAAGAGGCAACGTGACGACGAGTTCCCTTGAACCAAAAGATCAAGACGGGAGATTTGCCGCAGCAGTCGCTTTTGGGGTGCATACATAGCGTTCCATCTCGTGGGAAAATGGCTTCCGGGTATTTTATAATCGCCAACGGCCGGCCTGCAGCAATACTGCCGATGGCTGCAACACGGGAATCAGGCAAAAGTTCCGATCTCCCATGGCGGGATCCTCATGATCCATAAAGCGAACCAGTGGCCCTTTAGTGCCGGCGATAGATAGCTGGCCTTCTTATCTTGTCTCTTTTTTCTTCTTCTCTTGTGGTCACCACCTCACTTACACACTAAGCTCCTTCGACGAGAACAAGATGCAGCCCCAATTCTTCAACATCATCAACGACGAGCTGCGCGGCGCTGAAAAGACGCATGCCGTGACAGACCCCCGAACCGAGGAGGATCTCTGGCCCTGCCCGATCGCCACAACCAACGACTTTGAAGATGCCGTTGCCGCCGCCCAAAAGGCCTTTGTAACCTGGGGCCGAACAACTATCGCAGAGCGCCAAGCCGCCCTGATTAAGCTGGCCGATGTGTTGGAAAAGCACTCTGAAGAGCTCGCCGAGATTCTCTCCAAAGAAACAGGCAAATCAGCCATCCTCGCAGACATTGACGTCAAGGCCTCGATCGCTCAATGCCTCTACTACTGTCCGTTTTCCCATTGCCCCTTTCAACGGGGCAACTTCGCTCTAACAAACCTCTCCAATAGCCAAAACCGCTCTCGAAGACGAAGTGCAATATGAAGACGACACCACCCGCGTCGTGGCAACCCACGTCCCGCTCGGCGTTGTCGCCGCCATCTGCCCGTGGAACTTCCCCCTCATCCTGTCTAACATCAAAGTCGTCTCCTCTCTCATCACCGGCAACTGCGTCATCGTCAAACCCTCCCCGTTCACCCCCTACGCCGTGATGAAATGGGTCGAGCTCTCCCGCGGAATCCTGCCCCCAGGCGTCTTCCAGGTTCTCAACGGCGGCGCCGACCTTGGCGCCCTCATGACGCTGCACCCCGGCATCGCCAAGATCTCGTTCACCGGCACCATTGCCACGGGCAAGCGCGTCATGGCCAGCTGTGCAAAGACACTCAAGAAAGTGACTCTTGAGCTGGCGGGTAACGACGCTTGCATTGTCTGTGCGGATGCCGATCTCGACAGGACGATCCCGAGCGTAGCCAGCGGCGGTTTCTTCAACGCGGGACAGGTCTGCGTCGCGAGCAAGCGCATCTACGTGCACGAGAGCATCTATGAGGAGTTTTTGGACAGGCTGGTCAAGGAAGTCGAGCGGGGGTATACGGTACAGGAGGACGCCAAGGCGCCGAGCGTGTTTGGGCCGGTGGATAACAAGATGCAGTTCGAGGTGGTCAAGGGGATTATCGAGGACTGCAAGAAGAATGGGTACAAGGTGATGACCGGCGGGAAGACGGCGAATGTGAGCGCAACTGGTAAGGGGTTCTGGCTTGAGCCGACGATTGTGGCGAACCCACCCGAGGAGAGCTGGTTGGTAAAGGAGGAGCAGTTTGGTGAGTTTTTCTCCTGTCAGGGTTGGGGGAGGGGTTGCTAATGTGAATAGGCCCTGTCTTGCCGGTGTTGTCCTGGACGGACGAGGAGGATGTTATCAAGAGGTCGAACTTGGCGAATGCCGGGTTGGGAGCGTCGATTTATTCCAAGGATCTTACCCAGGCTGAGAGGATTGCTCGGCGGTTGGAGGCAGGAGGTGTATGGATCAATCAGTTTGAGAGACCCAACTTCGGGGCGTTCTTTGGGGGTATGAAGGACAGTGGTTTTGGAGGAGAAATGGGCAAGCAGGGGTTGCTGTCGTACGCTTACACGCAGTGCTTGCACTTTGCGAAGTGAGAGCTCGGGAATTTGAGTGGGAGGGTGGGTGTCTGGGTCTCGGGAAGTTCCACAGTCTGTGGTTTTAGTAGCGTACTGCTCTCAAGTTCCAGACACGGTCCGTTTATGTGTGACATCCAAATGGTTGTGCTGGGGTCGTTAGCCTCACGCGTCTTGTGGCCTAGTGACGGGACAAGCTCCTGGCTCGTAGCTAGCTGGGCACCAGCCCTGCGACAATTACGACAACGGTTGACGATACCTCGAGACTGAACACAACCCGGGCAAGGTACTTAGACCCGTTGAAGTGTCAAACCAAAACCGTGACGGCCATCTTTTTGGCATCAACGGCGCAGCCTTCGCGAAACGGCCACGCAACCTCGACGTAGGCAACCACCCTCGCCATTGACCTTTTCCCACAACTCGTAGGCCAGTTTTGCTCCTCTCTGTACACCTTGGCTCACAGCCTTCCAGGCTGCGAATAAAAAGAAATACGCATACCTCAAGCTTCTTGGAGGTACCTGTATGGTCCGTGCTGCATGCATGCAGGTCAAAGGCTGCCTGGGTCGTGATGCAGGGGCACCTCAATGACCTGCCCCCATCGCCTGGCTTGGACGCACCTGCCCCTCGCACTCTTCACTTTCACCCCATCCGCCAAACTCCTCCCCTTCACTCTCCGACTTGCCGTCAGCATGGATCTGGCTGACAGCATGTTGAGATTTTACAACAGGATCATTCCACGGCGTTGCATGCCCGTGAATCGCCCTTACTATTGCATCCGATCACGGCGCTGCAGGCTATGCCAATTCCTGTTGCAAGAGGGAGATCGGGTTGTGGCCCGCATCAGCGAACCGAAATCTGACGGACAAGACTTCATTTGGCGGAAGGAATTCGCTCTTGAGCTTGGCGACTCGTTTGTTGCTGATCACGTCCGCTATCATGTTTGCGATCGCAGGGAGCCGTGCCCCTGGAGCGACGGGCCCCCTCAGACGGCGTTGTGCTTTCACACGGCATGCTTCAAACTTCTCCAGAGCCCACTGGAACAGCAATTTCTCCATGCAACGGAGTTCGGCCTGGAGTATAATGCTCTCGAAGAGTTTCAGTATAAGAATCGCCTCCAGGATATCTTGATATCTGTTTTGCAGAAAAACTTTCCGGGTCGACTGCCTTACGAGTTGTGGTCTATCATCGCGCCTCAGCTTATACCGGAGTTTGCGGTTATCTCAGCGGAACAGCAAGTCGAGAAGCTTTCCTCCGGAATCCCTTCTGAAACTTTTGAGCTGAGCCTTGCACACAACATCTACGCAAGTTACATGATGTTCAACAACACTCGTTATGTGAAGAACCTTCGCAACGCTACCGAGGGCGAATCTTCAGTCACAGAAGAGTTGGTGTTTTGTGCTGGTGTCGACCGCAGAGTGGAGAACATCTACATCGCTCTTGACCCCTTTGGCATTCGTCGAGTCTTTTTCGTTTCCGCGGGTGGTGCGCTTCCCAGCCGATCGTGCGAGGCTGGAGCGTGGTGGAAGACAGTTTCCGTTGCGGAGCGAACTTTAGAACTTGGTGTGAAGAGCGACGTGAGTTTATTACACCCTCAACTCAGTTTCCGTACTTGGCTAACATATCGAGCACGAACCAGGGCATGAAACTCCGTGATGTTTTTGATACGACACCGCCAGCTCTTCAAATTACTTGGCCCGTTCCAACTCCTCCAAAGATGATTGATCTGAGCCCGAGGGAATCTGACGAGCTCAATGGTCTACCGGAATATGGTCCCTCAACGCATCCTCAGTGGAAGTTTAGGATGCTAAGCTTCGAATGCAACACGCCAGGTATCACGGGGTACTCGCTGGCTGCATACCGCGGGACCGTCATTGCGCTTCACACCCATCGGGCGGGAGAGCTGCCAGGCCTTTACACTCAGCCCTACCGTGCTTTTGATAGGTGCGACGAAATGAAATGGATATACGTTCCTGTCAACTCGGGAGATCGCATTGATGCCATCTATGTTCGGTCTCAGTCCACCCCTGTCACGGAGGAAGTGGTTATGAAGGTGAGAATGACTCCGTTTAAAACCTTTGCTCTCACTAGAATTATCTGACCGGCTTCTAGTTTATCACAAATCGTGGGCATGTGATCACGACTGGCGACATACACGATTGCGACAACCCGGATTTTCAGCTTTTGCACAAGCCTTCCCGAAATGGGGGGCGCGTCTACTTCAACGGCATTATGGTCGGGATACACAACGAGCACTTTGTACGATTCGTGGCCGCCGAGAATCTTGACGAACTCGAAGAAGACAACGACTCTGAAGTACCGAAACCCCAACTTACGGCCACGCACCAGCTATCGACACATTTGCCGAGTTTTCTCAGGCTGGGGGCAGGCTGGAACTATACGCATTGCAATCTCGAAGATGCCGTCGAGCTGACGAAATGCAGACGGCCCCATGTTGAATACATACCCTGCGTCAGCGGAATGCTTGTTCGGCACGCCGATGGGGGCAGGGATTGTGTCGGTCAAGTTCGTTTCGACCGAAAGTTGGAGACAATCTCGATCAAAGGACATTCCGGTATAC